ATTTCTTCGAACCGCGTGGACTTGTGATACAGAATTTTTTAAAAGAACAAAGGACTGTTCCAAATAAAATAATTATGTATTTCAACAACAGTTGTAAAAACAATTGGATTTAAAATAGAAATAAATGCAGATACACGAACAGTAAACTTCTTATGCGTCGCTCTCAGTTTGAATAAAACTACATACGAATGATTCAAAAAAGATAATGACGCCCCTACTTACGTACACACATCTTCCAACCATCCACCTTCAATCTTCAAGCAAATACCCATATAAATCAGGCTATCTGAAAACTCATCAAACAAGATTTGATTCAATAGCAAGAAAACGCCACTTGACGACCCACTAACAAAAAAGTGAATACAAACAACAACGTCAGTACACACGTCCACAACCGAAACACAAAAATAGAAAAAGAAACATAATCTGGCTTAAAACGCCATACAATAAAACCGTCAAAACAGACATAGGAAGGACATTTCTAAACTTAACAGAAAAAAAAACTTCCCTGCAACAAACCGCTTAGCAAAATATTCAACAGAAATGACATAAAAATTAGTTACTGCTGCACTAAAAATATAACGCAAATAATAAAAAGCCACAATAAAAAAGTAACAACCTGCAATAACGCGATCAATGACCCTCAATGCAACTGCAGAAATAAAACAACATGTCCACTCCAAGAATCTGCCAGCAAACGAATATAATATGTAAAGACAAGGTGAGTGCAAACAACAGCACAATGTCCTACATCGGTGCAACTGAGGGATCATTCAACCAAAGAAAATACAACCACGACCTCTCATTCTCCCACAGAAAATAATCAAACAGCACTACACTATCCACATACATATGTCAACCCAAAGGCAAAAACAATGCGCAAATAATAAGCTGGGAAATATTGAAAAATGCATCTGCCTACAACAACATAACAAAAAAATACCTACACCAAAAAGTACCAATAACCCAGCAAAAGAAATTGCTGAACATAAGTTCAGAAATAATTTCTAAATGCAGACATGAAAACAAATACCTATTATCACAATTTATACCAAGCGGTGAACAAAAACCATGCCAAGTAACACTGCTACCTTAACCACCATTAGCCCTATGAACACTAAAAGATAAATCGCTGACCCCATAACACCATTTTACAACATCTACAACTACTTCAGTCACCAACATTGTTACCACCACCTTACGCACCCACCATCTACTATTATTTTCACCTTATACACCATTCCTACTGATTTTTACTACAGCCTTTGCACTCATTATTGCCATTATTAATACCCCCTCCACCATCATCTATTACCACCATTTCTAATATTTTCTATTTTATTCATTGCCTCTTCCATTCTATTATTATTAATTTATTTCATTTACTATTTACTACTGCAATTTTTAATTTAATTGTAAATTTATCATTGCATCATTTTTTTATGTTTAGTTATTATGAACAATTATTTACTATCATGGTCTTATCCAGATCCCATCTTAAGGAATGCAAAAAGCTCCAAACGGATAGAAGGCGAGTGTACGCGTGTGCTTACGTTCATGTGTGTGTGAAAAAGAATTATTCCGTGCATAAAATAGACGAACGATCTATAAGTTGACTCCAACTCCCCAACTCACCAGCCTGCCATTTGTGGATAGAATTCGCCACACAATTCCAACACTAATACAGCGGCCAATTGCGTACGTATGCACGCAACGACGCATGGATGCGTATATAGTCATCCACAGACAGACTGTATCAAAGCTCATCAGTGTGGCCAGATTGCGATTGCTTCAAGCCGGGATTGAAACCCGATCGATTTGACATCAGTCGGAGATACTCACCCTTAGCACTATATGAAGAAAGGGAA